GGCAGCTACTGTATGGCTACCATTTTATGACCTCTCTACATAATTTCTTCTATACTGCCCATCTCATTTAACAGTGAATTAGGTTATATTCCAAGAAATTATATGCCTTTTGAACATGGGATAAGAGTGTCTCCTTTGTGTTTGCATGCACATATTTTAAATAGGCCTAAATACCTTGAAGGTGCCAAATACCCTGAAGGGTCTTGTTTGATCTTGGAAGCTAAGCAGCCCTGGTTAGTACTAGAATGGGAGAAGGGCAAAGAATACCAGTACTGTAGTGAATGGGGAGGGTGGCTATGAAAGAACTAGCAAAGATATACAACTCAGCACAAAGCTAGAATCATACAAGCCATAGTATTCCCTATTACCATGTATAGATGTGAGAACAGAATAGTTAAGAAAGATGATAGGAAGAAAATCAATTAGATGTGATGCTGGAGAAGAGTGCTGAGGATCCCATGGACAGCCAAAAGGACAACCAGGTGGGTCCTAGAGCATATCAAACCAGAAACCTCCCTGAAAACCAACATGACCAAACTGAGACTATAATACTTCGGACACATCATAAGAAGAGAGGACTCTTTGGGGAAAAAAATAATGCTGGGGAAGATGGAGACAAGTAGGAAGAGAGGAAGACCACATGCTGGATGGATAGACTCTATTAAGGAGGTCATGGGTATTAAGTTATTGCAGGAATTAAGCAGAGTGGTGGAGGTCAGAGGGTCTTGGAAATGTCTCATCCATAGGGCCGTCATGAGTTAACAGTGACTTGAGGGCAGTTAACAACAACAAAACTGTGGGCTATATTTCAGAGGAAGGGGCTGGAAAAAAGACCTCTAAGTATTTTTGCCTAAGAAAACCCTAAGAAATTAATGAGTTTGCCATAAGTTGACAGGTAACGCGAAGGCGCGCACACACACATATTTTAAAGAACAAGAGTAGGAAGTGAATATCACATGCTTTAAGTGTCAGTGGCTTAATGTAACAGTGACAGCTTCTTGCATTTTTTTCTGCTATCTGCTATCTTTCCCTGACATTTCTATGACTTTCCAAATGCATACATTCATCTTGTAATGTTCTGTCAACTTCCTGCATTTTGAAGCAATGTTGTTGCATTTCATCACATAGGAACTGAAACTCAACTTCCTGTGTGCCCATTGTGAGAAAGAGATGTTTCCCTTCTCAAGTCTTTACTTCTCTTAAATAAGAGAACATTTGAATATGACTGCAGCTGAACAGATGCCAAGCAAAAGAAAGGTTTATTGAAAGAAAAGATTGATTTCAATTAATTAGTATTGTTCTATTTGCTTGCTAGATCCATCAAAATACTGTCAGCAATGATAATTGATCACAGAATAGAAGGAAGCTTTCAGATTCTTCAGATTCTTTTTGTATATATTAAAGATGATAATCACTCCAAATATTAACATCCATGAATTCTATGCAACGTTTAGTGTGCAGTTATTAGATATAGTTCTTCACACCATGCATAGCTAGCTGAACATGGCATATCCTGCTGTCTCTATAAGGAAGGATGTGGTGCATCAACTTTATCCTTGTTTTCTTTGTACTAGTCATACTGCATATCACTCCACCAGCATTCCTTTCTTTTTTCTCAGGAACTTACAACATTATGTAGTCCCTTCTGAGAAAGATATCAAATTCCTCATCAGTATCTTATTCCATTGGCAGCTAACAATGAACACCTCTTTCTCAGTCATTTTCTAGGTAAACGTACCAGTTTTCATTGATTTGAAAATGCTTTTTCTAGCACAAAAAGACCGATTATCTATATCTATATCTGTATATCTGTATTCAGATCACTGGAATTTCCCCTTCAATGCTATTGAATAGATTTTAAGATTCTGTTTTTAACATCCATGTTGTTTCTAGTGTGTGATCTCAGCACGCACTATCTCATGAAAGTGACTGGTCTTCCTTTTGTTATGCTTGCTATTCATATTATGCTTCCTTTCTCAGTGAATTGTGGGCTGATACTTCTTTTGGATCTTTTAATATCTCCTTCCTTGGATAACAGACTTTAAAAGAATACCCAGTTTTAAAGATGGAAATGAAATCTTATTTTCTGTAATTGTCATAATTTTTCTACAGTTCTTATGCAACTTGTTGCATTAGTGTTTTCCCAGAGTGCTTTGTGAAATTGCTCAAAACTTAAAGTGTCTGTTTTGCTGCTTTGTTTCACTGTCATCATATCTTTTTGCATTGTTAGAATAAAAATACCTATAGCATTTCACAAGGTTTTTGATAACAAACCTTCCCTCCTCTCCTCACATAATTTACTGAGACTTCAGCATAAAGGGGCAACTCAAAATTGTTCATCTAAACCAATTTACTCCCCAAGTATTTACAGCTCAGATGCCTATCTGAAGCTTGGTGTTTTTGTAACCAAGATTTCCAAGGAATGCAAAGAGAGCCTATTAAGGCACTTTGTCAGAAAGTAGGAGGGGAAAAATTACAGATTTAGGGCAATACATCAGCAAGATAAAGATCTCACATTAAGATGACCTTTACGTGTGAAAAGCAGCTTCCTTGCAAGCAGCTGCCAAACCTGCTTTGACCTGCCACAGGTCCCAAGGCTATGCAGATATGATATATTAGTTTTTTTTCTTGTCTGAAGCAATTCTCAAAGTTAGTACAATCCTCTTGCATATTGCCACCTGCAAAACTGGCTGGTTTAAAAAAATGAAAAGAAAGACTCTGACAAGGTCACCAATTCAATACTACCCTTACTAGGATGTAAATTTTAGAGAGTTCAGTGGACTTATAATCATTTGTTGTTGTTAATTGTCCTCAATCGATCTCGACTCATGGCGACCCTATGGATGAGACATCTCCAAGACCCCCTGACCTCTACTGCTCTGCTTAATTCCTGCAACCCCTTAATACCCATGACCTCCTTAATAGAGTCCATCCATCTAGTATGTGGCCTTCCTCTTTTCCTAATTCCCTCCACCATTCTCAGCATTATTGTCTTTTCCAATGAGTCCTATCTTCTCATGATATGTCCAGAGTATGACAGCCTCAGTTTGGTCATCTTCCAGGGAGGTTTCCGGCTTGATCTGCTCTAGGACCCATTTGTTTGTCCTTTTGGCTATCCATGGGATCCTTAGCACTCTTCTCCAGCACTAGATCTCAAAGGAATTTATTTTATTCCTATCATCTTTCTTAACTATCCAGCTCTCACATCCGTACATGGTAATAGGAAATACAATGGCTTGTATGATTCTGACTTTTGTGTTGAGTTGTATATCTTTGCATTTTAGAATCTTTTCTAGTTCTTTCATAACCACCCTTTCCATTCTTAATCTTCTTCTGATTTCCTGACTGCATTCTATCAATGTTTCATCCCAGGTATGGGAATTCTTTTACTATTTCTATTCCTTCATTGTCTAGGTTGAACTTGTGAAGGTCCTCGGTGGTCATTATTTTTGTTTTCTTTATGTTCAGCATTAAGCCTGCCTTTGCACTTTCTTCTTTGATCTTCCTTATTAGGTGTTCCAGGTCTGTGAAGTTTTATGCATATCTTAGATTGTTGATATTCCTTCCTCCTAGTTTCACTCCTCCTCCTTCTTCTGTGTCCAAGTCTGCTTTTCTTATAATTTGTTCTGCATACAAGTTGAACAGATAGGGTGAAAGGATGCAGCCTTGTTTGACTCCTTTGACAATTGAGAACCATTCTGTTTCTCTGTGTTCTGTTCTGACAGTAGCCTCTTGTCCTCAGTACAGATTTCTCATCAGGACTATCAGATGTGTTGGCACTTTCATGTTTTTACGGGCATTCCATACCCTTTCATGATCTACGCAGTCAAAGACTTTGCTATAGTCTATAAAGTACATGCTGATTTTCTTTTGGAATTCCCTGGTGTACTCCATTAGCCATCGTATGTTTGCAATGTGGTCCCTCGTGCCTCTTCCTTTCCTGAACCCCACTTGGACCTCTGGGATTTCTCCCTCTATGTATGGTTGGAATATATGTTGCAGAATTTTGAGCATGATTTTGCTTGCGTGGGAGATCAGTGCTATGGTTCTGTAGTTGCTGCAGTTTCTTGTGTCTCCTTTTTTGTGGATGGGGATGTATATTTATTGCCTCCAATCTGTTGGTCACCATTTTCTTTTCCACATCTGTTGACATATGTTGGTTAGCACTAGAGTTGACTCTGTCAATGTGGATTGCAGCAGTTCAATTGGAATATCATCTGTTCCTGGTGATTTGTTTTTTGCTATTTCTCTAATTGGAATTTCCAACTCACTTTTTAGAATTTGGGGTTCATCTTCATATGGCTCTTCATTCCATGTGTCCTTCATTTTGTCTTCTCTTTTGTATAATTCTTCTGCGTATTGCATCCAATGTCTTTTTATTCCTTCCTGCTCTTGAATTATATTATTTTTATTGTCATAGATCATCCCAGTCCTTGGTTTGAATTTTCCTTTGATTTCCTGGATTTTGTGAAATAGATCTCTTGTTCTTCCCTCCCTGTCTGCCTTATAATCATGCAGGCATGGATAAGATGCCTACTTACTTGCTATATTTAGTGATTCCAGTAAAATGGCCAGGAAAGTATATAGGGTTTCTGCCTCTATTTCTGTTCATAACAATCTTGTGTGGTTTGCTGTGATCTAGCAACTGGCACAAGATTACTCAGTCACAAGCTTTTGTGCCTTAAAAACAGTGCTGCAAATCTTCAGTTGTTTCACCCTCACACAAAATGAAGAATAATTCTCCCTGCTGCATTGGAATATCAAGTTGTCTGCATAGTTTTTAAAAAAAATCACTGTTGACACTTGAGTAAGAATTTAGGGGAATTATTTTGCTCAACATTACGCATGTTTTTTTTTCTGTATCATTATTATTTGGAGAAAACATGCATTTTCCCCATGCATTTTTGTTCAAATTAATTGTGCTAACAGACTTCATGAAGTACAATAAATCTTGCAGTTGTTCTATTCTAGTTTGTTTTTTTTTAATGAGGTTTCCCAATTTTTGGGTGGTGTAGTGGTTTAAGCATCTGATTATGACTTTGGAGACCAGAGTTCGAATCCCTGCTCAACCATGGAAACTCATTGGGTGTCCTTGGGCAAGTCACACTCTCTCCGCTTCAGATGAAGGCAAAGGCAAAGCCCCTCTGAAAAAGTCTTGCCATAAAGCTCTGTGATAGGTTCATCTTAGAATTTCAGTAAGTTGAAAATGACTTGATGGCATACAACAACAGCAGGAAAAATAAGCAAGTACTCTAAAGACACCAGATCTCATCTAATTGTAGAAGCTAAGCAGGGTCAGCTCATGTTAGTACCTGGACGGTAGACCATCAGTGAATACCAGCTGCTGCAGTCTATATTTCAGAGGAAGGAATTGGCAAGCCACCTCTGAGAATTTCTTGCCTAAGAAAACTCTATGGGGTCATCATAAGTTGACAGGTGGCTTGAAGGCACATACACAGACTCTCTTTCCATCCCTGTTTAAAAGTAATGTCCTTGATCTAAGTCCAGCACTGTAGCAGCACTTGAAAAAGTTAATTATTTGTCCACCACTCCCAGAAACTCCATAGCCAGCACAACCATGAACTTACAACTGTGGCCAACTGTGGTCAATTGCAGAAAAGGTTTGGAGAGTTATAGTCCAAAAATGTAACTTTTCCAAGATTTTCAGTCTAGTTCTTCTGATTTACTTTTCTCCCTTGATTTTAAACTAAAGCCACACAAATGCAGTGTATGTGTGTTTTGTGCCTTCCAGTTCCCATACATTTTATGAGGTTTAAGTATTCCTTTTTAAAGGCAAGGAATACTCAGAGGTGGTTTTACCAGTTCCTTTCCTGAAATATAGTCTACAGCACTTATTTTTAGTTGATGGTCTCCCATCCAACTATTTACCAGGGCTAAACTTCCAAGAGACAGGATTTGGTGCCCTTAAGAGTATTTAGGCTACTACATGAAGTACATGGGCTTAAAAACAAATTAAAAAAAAAACCCCATCTACCCATCTAGCCTATAAAATGCTACCTTTGAATACCTGCAATATTCTGTCAAGACTGGGTAAATAAATTAAAGGAGAAGGGTTAAAAAAAAATAAAAGCCCAAGATCTTGTAAAAGGCATTTGGGGAATGTTGCTAATGAGGCCACTTGAGGGGCTTGGTGGAGTGGTTAAATACAGGCTCCAGGTACTAGCACTGTCAGACTCCCCAACCCAGCAACAATTGCAGACCTGTCATGCTGCTAATGTGCTTGTCTTCTGGTGATGGAGGAAGGATGGGGGGTGGCAGTGAGGGGTGTGATCATTCCCCCCCACTCTCCCTTCTAGCAGACAAAAGGAGGCTGCCCACCTGCCTGCATAAACTTCTGACCAATTATCTAAAACAGGACCAGGCAGAGAGGAGGAAGCTGAGGAAGACTGACTAATGAAGCAGTCTTTGTGCTTTAAAGAAAATGCAACCTCTGTCAGAGGAGTCTATGACAGCAAAGCTAAAAACAAAACACAAAACCACAACTTTACCTGAGAGGCCAGGTTCTACAAAGGGCAACACTCCATTCATCTATTATAAGGGCCAATGTGACTTGTTCTGGGGGCTTCCATTCCATTTAGTGTGGCATTTTTTGTCAGTCCAGACTGAATGTGAAATGTTCCTATTTAACATTCTTGTTAACTGCCTTTGTGTTGACTTTGATCCATGATGACCCTATAAATGAGAGACCCCCCAAGCCATCCCTTCCATATCCACCTTGCTCAGCTCCTTCAGATTCATGGATGCAGTTTCATTGATTGAGTCTATCCATTTGGAATGTGGTCTTCTTCTTTTTCATTGCCTTCCACTTTACCAAGCATTATAGTAACTTCTAGTGTGTCTTTTCTTCTCAAGATTTGACCAAAACATAACACCTTCAATTTAGCCACCTTTGCTTCCAGGGAGTGTTCAGGCCTTATCTGCTCTAGGATCCAACTGTTGGTCTTTTTAATGACCCACACTATCCTCAGCACTCTTTTCTTGCACCACATCTCAAATAAGTTGATTATCTTCCTACCAGCTTTTTTCACTGTCCATCTCCCACAACCATACATAGAAATAGGAAATACAATGGCATGAACAATCCTAACTTTAGTATTTAAATATTATAGTATATGATATTTATCATATCATTTGCAAACTATCTTTCTGACATGTTTTGTTGTGGCATGTTGTATTGGATTCAGAAAGGAACTTTGAAAGGTTCAGACAACAGCTTTCCTACATCCACTTTCAATCTAGGAGTGGATGATAAGAAGCAAAAATACTCTCTTAGCCCTCTCTCTCTTTTATACATATATCCACACACTCAAGTGGATGTGTGCATAGGTCCCAAGTGAAATTAGGAGAACTAAAAGCAGACATGGAGATAGATGGGCATACATTTTACAGTGATTTCAGAAACAGATCTGCCGAATGATATTCCAGAACAGCCACTATCACTGCATATCCTGTGAACTCATAGCTTCAGACATTTCCACTTAGTGTATCAGTTATGTCTTACTTAGGTACAAAAGAGTACAGTTAATAATGGATTATCCTGAAAATTGTGTCACAGAAATAGGTGTCTTTGTTCATCTTTGATCTCTGAAATGTCAAGCTATTTTTAGAAACTACACTGTTAAAAAACCATTTAACATTTGGAATGTGGCTGCACAGTTAATACTTATTATAATCAGAGGCCTATAACAATGGCAACCTCCCTCTGAATAATTCTTGCCAAGAAAACCCTCTGATAGATTCATCTTGGGGTTATCATAAGTGGGGAAACAACTTAAAGGCAAACAACAGCAACTAAATAGTAATAACCTTTGATTTCTTGTTGACATTAGTTTTTTGTGTGCAGGGGATACACATTTTGTGTGCAGGGGATAAACTGCATTCTGTAGTGGGGCATCCAGATTCTAATGGATACAAGCCCCACCTCACTAATAAATTGCCATAATTTGCCATTGGTTCAATATCGTGGACTAAGGTTTGTTTTTCTTATTTTAAAAAGAGAGTGTCTTTATAAACCCTTCCAAAACCTATTTGAAATATTTACCATTTTCACAGCAAAAATATTAAATGGTTCATGTGTCAAAGTGCAGGGCAAATAATGGGGATTGCTTTCTAGGACAATAAAAACATTTCAAGTCTACTAGAAACATCTTGGAATAACTTTTTTTAAAAAATACTACACTACCTGGTTTAGTTTGATTTGCTGAATAATCCTGACTTGATAGGGATAATATGGAATTGGCCCAATGAAAATATTGCTGCTTGTGGCTTTTGTATTTTGTTATATCAGACCCTGAATATTTAATTTTAAAATATGTGTTAGATTTTTCTGCAGTATCTATGTATCAATCATATATAGTGGGCCCTTCCCATTTGTGGAGTTTGATTGTGCCCACCTCATGGATGGGTAAAAACATGGATGCTTGAGTCCTATACTATCCATTAGATGGTGACATGCACATGCCTGCAACAGCATGCCCATTTGCAGGTGCCACAATTGGATAATAGGGGATATGGTGATCCATGGACATTCAGATTTATGGATAGGAAGCCTGCCAATATTGAGGGCCCAATATACACATAAATATAAATTCTATGATACTAGCAGATATCTGTGTTGTAGAAGATATTTTTTGGTTAGTTTAACTATGGTAGGTGATATTTTTTTACTCAGAGGACTGAAAAAATATTGTATGTCCTTTCTAAGATCTAAAAGAGAAAACAATAGTTTTTAGTGTGGCTCCTAATATTATTGCTAGTACCATGGACATCAGCCCAGTTTACATGACAGTATCTTAACTCATTAAATATAGGGAAAGCTAAGTTTGTTTACTATATACCATTGTGACAGAACTAAAATAGAGAAAGTCTGATAGGAAAAATAAAAATAAAGAGAAGACCAAATTGTTTGTGCCTTTTGCTTCTATACACTGATAATATCTGTTCAACCTATACATCCTTGGAATGTGTTTTTCCCCCAAAAGAAAATGTTGGTCCTCCATTCTTCTCATGCTTTGTGAAAGTGAGAAAGTAAAATGTTGCATTTGTTAATAGGTTTGTCCAACTTTCAATATTAATACATGTGAACCTAGGCAAGTGGTTGTCAATGCTATAAACATTTGAGTACAAACAGGTTGTTAGGAATCAAAAGAATTTATCAGATCAACAAAGGTGCTTTTTCAGCCAGCTATAATTGTGTGCCAGTTTCATAAGAGAGATGTGAAACTAAGAGTTTCAAATACTTTAGGCCTCAAAAGTGGATGGTTTCATTTGAGCTGTAAATGTGTACTGTAATAATATATGACGGTCCTCATTTATCTGATTTCAGTCACAATGGAACTAGATTATTCAAGAGACATATGGTGATGGTTGAAAACATCAGATCTGTATCTCTTTGTCCTGATATGACATCATCTAATTTCATCATTACTGCTTCATTGGCTTGGGCTTTCAGATACAGAATGGAATTACATGATACAATTCTGTTGTCATTGTGCTACATATGTTACCATGGAAGAGAAGATGTGGAAATGCAGGTTTGCTTCATGACTGGAAGTGACTGGTTCATTTTTTTGAGTTCCATAAAGATGGTCACATATGGTCTGCACAAAGTTGAAAGAAATCAAAAAATGATGCTCAGCTCCTTTGTGCATGCCCAACACTTTCTCACAGGTGGTGGTTCTATGCAAACCTAAGAACTTCCCGAGCTCTAAAAATGAGTGAATTGTATTTCATTCCAGAAAGCTACAGGATACCCTGATGGCCTAACTATCTTCATTGCTGATTGGGTGATGGCAAGATCAATGTGAGCAGCACTGATTAATATCTTCCAAAATGTGGCCAACATTTTTTTCATTTCCAGTTTTGTACTAAAGAGCAAGCAAAATTACAGAACAGTCCAATGAAAGAGGCACTCCTTTAAATCAGGAGCATTCCCTAAAGAAAGGTTTCTGCCTCAGTTACACTGATGTGAATAGGAACTGCTTTCTATGCCTTTCCCATGTACTTCCACAGACCTTGGACAGGAACTCTTTCTGGGAGATGATACCCTATA